GGGTCCGGGGGTCGCTCTCAGGCGTGGAGAGCCTGTTGGGAGTACTGAATGCACCCTGTGTGACCTTCTGCGGCCCTTCAGCCAGCTGTGGTCCAGACCTGGTGACAGAGGGTGTGCATGTGTGTCCGGTAACCGGCCGTGTCGGCGTGTGGGGAGTGGGGCTGACCCTGGGAAGTGTCAGCGGCGGAAGGTTGCTTCTGTCATAGAATCACAGAATGGTTTGGGCTGGAAGGGACCTTAAAGATCATCTAGTTCCAACCCCCCTGCCATGGGCAGGGACACCTTCCACTAGACCAGGTTGCTCAAAGCCTCATCCAGCCTGGCCTTGGACACTCCCAGGGCTGGGGCATCCACAGCTTCTCTGGGCAACCTGTCCCAGTGCCTCACCACTCTCTCTGTGAAGAATTTCTTCCTGACATCTCATCTAAACCTCCCTGATTTCAATTTATACCCATCACCCCTTGTCCTGTCACTACAGGCTCTTGTAAAAAGTCCTTTGCTACTTGGCAGGCTGCACCTCAACAATAACTCGTGTGTCCGTCGTGGTTTGAGGTTTCAGTGCCGAGCGTCCGTCTAGTCAGTGTTGCAGGGATGCCGTGCTGCTCTGCTGAACTGGGAAATGCAGCTTTGCCCCTTACTTCTTTGCTGTTAGTTTTCTGTGCCTCTTTCAGGATTTTCTCTCATCTCTTGCAACAGCGTTTTTCATACACTGTTCTGGCTCCTTGCCTTTATTTTTTATTTTAGGTGAATGATTGTTTTTTACAGCCTTCAAAATAGGATCTGACAAATATTTTCACATTAAGAGAAATGTTGGGGATTAGAGGATGTTTCAGACCTATGATAGCAGACCCCCATTTGGCAGGAAGTGATTAACAAAACCAAATTAAAAGATGTGTTGAATTGAGTGTTTGGTAAGGATTCAGTGACCTTTGTTTTCTAGCCGCAAAAGTTTGCAAAAGTTTCCAGATCCCCACGCACTTGGTAATATTCTGCTCTCACTCAATGTTTATGACCTTGGAAAATTGCAGAGGCTGGAATTTTTGTCATGGTAATGTAGAACATTAATGACAATGTAGGAGGAGCTGACACAGGCCGTAGAGTCCTTTCTCTGCGTACCCCTCCTGAAGTTTGGTGGAGGGAGCAGCATCTGTAGTTGTCTTTTCAATCAGGTGAAATTAGGCAGGCTCTGGAGTAATACACCCTTAGGGGAACGGCTCAGTGGTTGTTTTAATCTAGCGTAACACAGGTTGTGCTGCTGCTTCTTCCCTTACTGGTTCAGCCCAGCCTTCTCTCTTAGTCTGGAATTACTGTTTTATTGAGCAGCCAGGTGAGCTCTGGCCCAGAACTGATCCAGGTGAAAATCAACCCCTCATTTTCCTGCTGGCTCTCTGGGTTAGTCTCCAGTTGCTGCAGTGGTGTGGTCTGCTCTGGTTCATGCTTTGGCCCCGCGGTGCTGTTGTGAAGAACAGGGCAGCAGTGAGCACCCTCTGCGAGAGAGAAACGCTGCTGTTGTGAAAGGAAGGTTGAAGGGCAAAGTTCCATCCTCGACCCCAGACTGTTTGTTTGCACAGCAACACAGTATATATGATTTGGCAAATAATGTGGATGACCAGCAACCTGGCCAAAAGGGAGGAGAACAAGTTCTTTTACCTTGGTCAGGTCCCTGAGCTGGTTTGCAGCAAAGCCTTACAACCAGCTCTGCTGCTGCAATTTTGGAGGAGAGGGGCAGGAGGGCTGGTGGCAAGATGAGTGTCAAGGTCTGTTTTGCTGCAGGGAAGATAAGCTTAAGAACATGCGATCATCCTTAAAAGAGTTAAGGGTGGTTTTATGGAAACTCAAAGCGTTTAATGGAAACTCAAACTTAACATTCAATACACTATTATTAATACAATACAGATAGTTAAATGAGAATCAGTGATGTAAATTTAAATCTGTCATCTGAATATTTAGAAAGTCCAGAAACTACTCGTGAAGTGAGTGTGTTGAACACACCCGTTTTCCATAAACATAAATTAGATCAAGCATCCTCACCTTTGTTAAAAAACCTTGTGGGGGTTCACCTGTTTCGTCTGTTAGTAGTTTTCAGCTTTTTAAAAAAAAAAAAAAGAAAGTAGGTAGTCAAGTAAAAATCAGTGGATTAAGGTTTGTTTCAGAGTCGGTTGAATCACTTGCTGGGGTAAGTTGAGTGGTAGTTAAATGAAGAGTGCAAACTGATGATGGACATAGCACACACCGGGTGTGTAGAGGGGTCAGTCCTGAGGATTTGTTCCACACCTGGGTACAGGACCTTCCCCCCAGTACCAGCTGTGGTACTTTTCATACCTTTGAATATACAGAGGCCTCTTGAGATAGGTATTTTTAATGACTGTGATATTCCCTCTACACTTAAAAACCCAAATGGTGGGGTTTTTTCATGTGTAATAGAAGCTATTTATTCCTTTGAGGAAATAAATTCCGCTTCTCACAGTTTTTGCATAGTTACCATGTCAGCACTACGTTTTAAGGAAGCAGCAGTAGCATGCTTAGCAGCAACTTCTTTTTAAAGTTTTCCTGGCACCCCAGAAAGAAGCCCATGGGCAGTACCAGGGTGTGAGGGTGTTACTCTGTTTTCCTGCCTTCATGGCTTTGGAAGTCCTTGGACCTGGTTCTTGCTTAGTCTGCTTCAGGGCATTTCACATGGGATCTGAGCGTATTCGCTGCCTGTTTCAGATCCCAGCAATTTCTACACGTCCTTGTCAATGGATCAAGCTTGACTTTCACCAGTTTGGAAAGTCCTTTTCTGTAAATCATCGTCTGGGATCCAAATACATGAGGGAGAGAAGCACCCTCCCTCTGGCAAACCAGCCAAAGAATATGGACCACACGGCCTCTAACACAAAGCCTGGAAACAGTGTTTGTGAGCAGCTTGATTAGCAGGCACTTTCATTTGCCTTCCTCTGTATACATCCTCCTAGTGTTACTCAAAATAAGTGTGGGTGTTTCATGGCAGCTGTAGAGAAGAGGTATGTGAGCTCTGTTGTTCAACTGGGGGAAAGTTCACTGACTGCCTCCCACTTGTGGCTGCATGCAGAGGCCGAGCAGAGCCGTGACTAACAGTCAGTACCTGTTCAGTTGGCTTCAGGGGCGGCTTCCCCCAAGCCGAAATTCATAAAAACTACTTCTGGCCAGTGCATTTTACGCAGGTGCTCTCCTGTCTATTGAAAACTGGATTTTCATCTCAGAAGCTGGAAGACTGATGCTGATGCAGTTTAAGGGGCCTGTATAATTATGAAAATATCATGAAGTTTCAGATTAGGGACTGTTTTTTCCTTTAAGTTAAAGGAATCATAGTTAAAATTATAGAATCATGGAATGGATTGGGTTGGAAGGGACCTTAAAGCCCACCCATTCCCACCCCCTGCCATGGGCAGGGACACCTTCCACTAGACCAGGTTGCTCCAAGCCTCATCCAGCCTGGCCTTGAAGACATCCAGGGATGGGGCATCCACAGCTTCTCTGGGCAACCTGTCCCAGTGCCCCCAACCCTCACCGGGTTCCTTCCTGTCCTGATGTCCAACTTAAATCTCCCTGCTTTCAGTTTAAACCTGTTGCCCCTTGTCCTGTCATTCCATACCCTTATAGAAAGTCCCCCCCCAGCTTCCTTGTAGCCCCCCCAGGCACTGGAAGGTGCCATAAGGTCTCCCTGGACCCTTCTCCTCTCCACG